TAATTTGTCTGATCAATAATTTACCTAATTATCAAATTCAGTGACAAAGCCGATACACAGTACCAGGACACGCCCGAGAGTGTTGGTGTAAAACCTCCATTAACGATCACGTTGTAACAGCATGACCACCATGTGTTCCACGTGTCGACCAAAGATTGGGCCAACTGAGCTGGTGTTACCTGCTTGTTTGGGTCCTGTCGTAGGTGTCTACCCATTTCATACCACACATGCTCTTTGAGGAAGATTTCTGGAGAAACAGACCGCCATGTAACAGAATATCTGTAACAGAATGTCTGTAACAGAATGTCTGTAACACAGAAAGCTGGATATCTGGACGGGCATCATCCTGCTGCAACGTTGACGTCATTTGCACAAAGATTAGAACATGATCCCAACTGGGGTGGTTCCCGTAGGGTACACCCTTCAAATTGCCATCAACTATGAGAGTTGACCTGCAGTAGATAACGTCTGTATAGAGTTCATATTGTCTTCCCATGGACATTAAACAATCACGTTTGTTTTGTGCGATTTCTATTTGTGTAACATACCCACAGCACGTTGACCTTGACATTTAGTAAGCCATGGCATCGCGTAAGCGTATTTTACTGTGGGACAAAAAGTTTTCATGAGCAAACGATCACTTTGTTCACACTCAAGTACCACCTGTGTGAGTATCTAAACAAACAAGCAAACATCCAGTTTGTGCGCCGTGCATTAACAAGGATCAGCAAAGTGTAAATCACAACCTAAATTTCAAGATGTCTTCATAAATATGCAATGAAACATGCGCTATTAAATTTCAGAAGCAGTTTCCATTAATGTACACTATACAAAGTAGGGGCGATGGGGTAGCCTAGTGGTTAAAGTGTTCGCTCGTCACGCCAATGACCTAGGTTCGATTCCCCAGATGGGTACAATGTGTGAAGCCCCTTTCTGGTGTCCCCTGCCATGTTTTTGCTGGAATATTGCTGGAAGCGGCGTCCAATTAAACTCAGTGACTCATTACACAAAGCTCGGTGACTTCTCCCCATTAATATATATTTGTTAGCATTAAAAGAATGTTGAATGTAATGTGGACTGTAACTTGTACATATCATATTAACATATACATCGCTGTGACGTGCTTTTCAATCTCAATTGCACACATTTGCAGCGATGTATACACAGCGATGTTATGTTGACGCTAACGTATTGAGCTCGTTTATGTTGGACTCTTTCATCAAATGCACCTGCATTAAAAAAAGGCCATCAGATTCTGTTGATCACCGGATTGTCTGGTCCAGACTCGATTATTTACAGACCGCCGCCATATAGCTGGAATATTGCTGAGTGTGGCGTAAAACTAAACTCACTCACTCACTCACTTCTGTCTTCCTGGTCAAAATTAAACAATCGTAGGAGGTGTGTCGGTGAAAATAGACCCAAGAACCATATATAGTTCTTAAGAATATCTTGGTAAACAATACTGACTGCTGAGCCAAGGGTAGCTCGCACCTGGAAATAGACACAAATAATTTCAAATGGAAATTTTACTGAATATCTTGTCTGTCGAAATTCGTTATTTATGTAAGTGTAGGATAATATTGATTTGGTACAAGTTACGGGCAATATGATAAAATGTTCATGCTGCGTTGTCAATGCTATATCCGAGGTGATATGCCGTTCGAATCCCTGTTGCGTCTAGAATACATTAATGCATAAAGAAACGAAATTCTATGTATGGTTTGATCTTTCTTACTTACTCAAAGTTATACACCTTAAACTAATTCTCCTGTTTTACACACACTTCCGACATACTTGCAGTGGTAAGCTCGATCTGTGAACATCTTGTACATGTATAGTGACGTACAGGTAGCCAACATGTTACTACTCAGGTAGTATATTGCATCAATACCTGTCACACATGCCTGTAATAGGGAATACTCCAATATCAAAACTATACAGCTGTATATTTACCCTTGACTCGCTCCAACAATATTGTGTCCATATCATGTTGCATATAAAACACCAGAACCGTCAATATTTGAGGATTGTTTTCGTATTTGTGCATTATCCGAAGGTAAACCGTCCAAAATGTATAAAATCGTTCCACTACGCGAGTTTATACTAAATTTGTAATTGAAATCGATCGATAAATGCACAAAACTCGTAACACAATCTTCATAGTGACTAAGTAACGGCTCAAAACTTTATTTATTTATTTTATAAGGCATACCGTAGCGAGTATAAATACACATGGTCATGAATATCTATGCTTTCGCCAACAAACAACTCCTTAGGATGACAAACACAAGTCATGTCATGTTATTGAGAAATTTAGAGAGTCTGATTAACTAACAGACAGATCCTGAGTTCATCAATAAGTTCATCTTTACACCTATTATATTATGCTTATATCTGACGTGTTTGGACCCGTTAAGGTCCGGGTTAGAATTGATCTTCAGTAACCCATGCTTGTCGCAAGAGGCGACTAACGGGATCGGGTGGTCAGGCTCGCTGGCGGGGATGACACATGTCATCGTATCCAAATTGCGTAGATCGATGTTCATGCTGTTGATCCCTGGATTGTTTGGTCCAGACTCGATTATTTACAGACCGCCACCATATAGCTGGAATATTGCTGAGTGCGGCGTAAAACTAAACTCACTCACATTGTACGTGTTTGGGTCCAAAGATGTCAACAACTGAGCGTGTTTAGGGTTCAAACGTTGTAAGACCTGTAACCAAGTGTACATTCTACTGACTACCCACCCAAGACATGGAAGAAAAGCAAGCCAAGATAAGGGTATGATAATGATAGCCTTGTTATGGAGTTTATCGTGACCAGCATCGCGGTGACAACCTTGCATCTTCTAGATGATGTACTTTCTAGTTACGCCGAGAATTCACCTTCGCTGACCTTCACAAGGTATGTCCGAGAAACAAAATTACTCCTTTTCAGAAACCACAAAACCTCCTCAATTGTACTTTTATCATTCATATTCAGCTTGCAAAGAAACCGCCTTGCTCGGAAACCACGCTTCTCAACAGGGTCGGTAACTGTAGCTCCTCAATAGGGTCGGTAACTGTAGCTTCTCAATAGGGTCGGTAACTGTAGCTTCTCAATAGGGTCGGTAACTGTAGCTTCTCAATAGGGTCGGTAACTGTAGCTTCTCAATAGGGTCGGTAACTGTAGCTTCTCAATAGGGTCGGTAACTGTAGCTTCTCAATAGGGTCGGTAACTGTAGCTTCTCAATAGGTCGGTAACTGTAGCTTCTCAATAGGGTCGGTAACTGTAGCTTCTCAATAGGGTCAGTAACTGTAGCTTCTCAATAAGGTCGGTAACTGTAGCTTCTCAATAGGGTCGGTAACTGTAGCTTCTCAATAAGGTCGGTAACTGTAGCTTCTCAACAGGGTCGGTAACTGTAGCTTCTCAATAGGGTCGGTAACTGTAGCTTCTCAATAGGGTCGGTAAATAGTAACCGTAGCTTCTCAATAGGGTCGGTAACTGTAGCTTCTCAATAGGGTCGGTAACTGTAGCTTCTCAATAGGGTCGGTAACTGTAGCTTCTCAATAGGGTTGGTAACTGTAGCTTCTCAATAGGGTCGGTAACTGTAGCTTCTCAATAGGGTCGGTAACTGTAGCTTCTCAATAGGGTCAGTAACTGTAGCTTCTCAATAGGGTCGGTAACTGTAGCTTCTCAATAGGGTCGGTAACTGTAGCTTCTCAATAGGGTCAGTAACTGTAGCTTCTCAATAGGGTCGGTAACTGTAGCTTCTCAATAGGGTCGGTAACTGTAGCTTCTCAATAGGGTCGGTAACTGTAGCTTCTCAATAGGGTCGGTAACTGTAGCTTCTCAATAGGGTCGGTAACTGTAGCTTCTCAATAGGGTCGGTAACTGTAGCTTCTCAATAGGGTCGGTAACTGTAGCTTCTCAATAGGGGTCGGTAACTGTAGCTTCTCAATAGGGTCGGTAACTGTAGCTTCTCAATAGGGGTAACTGGTATAGGGTCTGTAGCTTCTCAATAGGGTCAGTAACTGTAGCTTCTCAATAGGGTTGGTAACTGTAGCTTCTCAATAGGGTCGGTAACTGTAGCTGCTTCTCAATCAGGGTTGGTAACTGTAGCTTCTCTCAATAGGGTCGGTAACTGTAGCTTCTCAATAGGGTTGGTAACTGTAGCTTCTCAATAGGGTCGGTAACTGTAGCTTCTCAATAACTGGTTCTGGTAACTGTAGCTTCTCAATAGGGTCGGTAACTTCAAGCTTCTCAATAGGGTCGGTAACTGTAGCTTCAATAATGAGGTCGGTAACTGTAGCTTCTCAATAGGGTCGGTAACTGTAGCTTCTCAATAAGGTCAGTAACTGCTTCTCAATAGGGTCGGTAACTGTAGCTTCTCAATAGGGTCGGTAACTGTAGCTTCTCAATAGGGTCGGTAGCTTCTCAGCAGGGTCGGTAACTGTAGCTTCTCAATAGGGTCAGTAACTGTAGCTTCTCAATAGGGTCGGTAACTGTAGCTTCTCAATAGGGTCAGTAACTGTAGCTTCTCAATAGGGTCGGTAACTGTAGCTTCTCAATAAGGTCGGTAACTGTAGCTTCTCAATAGGGTCGGTAACTGTAGCTTCTCAATAGGGTTGGTAACTGTAGCTTCTCAATAGGGTTGGTAACTGTAGCTTCTCAACAGGGTCGGTAACTGTAGCTTCTCAATAAGGTCGGTAACTGTAGCTTCTCAATAAGGTCGGTAACTGTAACTTCTCAATAAGGTCGGTAACTGTAGCTTCTCAATGTGGTCGGTAAATGTAGCTTCTCAATAGGGTTGGTAACTGTAATCGGCTGCCAGTATGTGTATTTCTTCATGTCCTACACATACACCTACACATACAGACTTGGTTACAAGGATGTGATATACCCACGATATGTGAGTGTGAAGGGTCAACTGTTCTTCAACAGGATGCATGTTTTTACGTTGTTAAGGGAACGTAACTAAGTATTAACGATCAGTAGATACTGGATAGCACGAGATAGAAGTTTTCTGTGTTTTAGTTCCGAGTCCAACTGGTCTATCGTATTGATGCAATATCTCAAACTCAACAACACCACTGGCCGTCTTACGTAGCGGAAACACTTAGCATTGTTCAATCCAGCACTGATAGCCTGAGACGCCAGTTCCGCTATGGCCGTGGCCGTAAAACGCTATTGACCGTGATGAGCGAGGCTTGGTGCTTGCGTCAACAGATGCCGTCTTCATAGCAATACCGTAAAGGGATTCATCAGTGGAACACGTGCTCACAGGGACCGCTTGTGTCAGGTACGTGTGTTGGACCTTTGTCGTCTCAGACATTCACTACAGTGTTAAATGAACGTGGATTGCAAATCGGTACAAATTATTGAGATTAATGTGTTCATGGGGCACAGTCGAGACTTAACATATCTTCGAACTCTCCTACCACACGCGCTTGTTTATTGATAGCTGTAGAGATCCCACAGTCAGGACTCTGCGCTCCCAGGGACAACTGTATTTCGGATCACATTTCCCTCAGTTAAAATATATTAACAGTATAATCACTTCAAGTTATGGAGTGTATATTGAACCTGGCATGGGTCATATTGTACTGAACGTAATTATATTGTCCCTAGGCTATTCGTACTGGAGGGGGAGGGTGGTGGTATCAAGGTAGCGCTTGCATGGATTCCGCACTCCCTGCTATAGCTTTCTCCGGTGGAGACATCACACTTGTAGTATTTTGACCCTTTGATAAATAAAGTTAAAAAAATCCAAGCAAGTACATGTGAAATATACAGAATATTCACCAACAGTTGGACGCCACGAGCTGTCCTCGACCCTGACGCGCATAGTGTAACCCGGTAGTTGCTTACATGCCTTGGTGTAGAAACAAGAGGCACGAGCTGTCCTCGACCCTGACGCGCATAGTGTAACCCGATAGTTGCTTACATGTCTTGGTGTAGAAACAAGAGACAGGAACATGAACTTATCTCTCCAAACAGGATTTCATATTACCGCTGGCCTAATCTAAGTAATTAGCGTGCACTAAGTAACGTCAGCTATGAGATCCCTGTTGGATGCATGTTATGATTATGCTGTAATGTTATCGTCCCTGGATCAACAGTTTATGTAGTAATATTCCCTAGCCTATGTTTGCTATTGGTGCGTCTTTCAGAGATGCATAGATCTATATCCTATTAACTTGATCGTAGATAATCATACACTTTTTTCCAAGGGAGAAAATGGGATTATAAACCAGATGTAACAGAATAATTTCCACTAAAATTGTCAATATGAGTGTTGGGATGACAAAATGCCCAAGATTTGAATAATGTAAAACACACCCTTCCCTCGCCTTTTATAAACGTTTGAATCAAATATTATTAAATCGTATCACTGTTTTTACTTTTAGATAATTATATCTACTTCCCTACTTCGCTATATTGGCACAAATGTATAATATTGCCTGGTTAACGTGTCATCAATACAAGCACCTATGTGTTGCAAATGAGGTTGTCTTTAAATACAGATATTCTGTTTTGTTCCCCGAGACAAGGCTACAGATGATAATTCCATGACATCGCCAATAACTGCGGACATGAAACACACCCCTGGCAAACACAACACATAGCCGAATATAAATATTAGTTTAAAGAGTAAGGCAGATTGTGTTCCACATAGAAGGCGTCACTGTGTTAACTTGGACTGTCCAAGTTTATTCACTGTCTGTACTCGCAAGCTGCTGAACTATGGCGCAGCGACCACGTGTGTATCTTCTCCATATAAATATAAGTCTTGTTCATATTGGTTTCCTGTGATAGATAGCTGGCAGTGACCGAAACCTTAAAACCTGGTTCTTTCACCAGCTTTATTCTTTATTGAATTCTCAACCAGGAACTATATTTGATTATAACTGACTATGTTAGGTGAAGTTTATGGATACTAGCACTAATGTGTGAGGTGACCGTACATGCAACTTAAAGAACACCTGACAGAAGACATGACGATTAAACACTAAGACATGAAATCTCATATAAACAAGGTTATTAAAGTACTACGCCCGTGTGTGGTTTTCCTGCCTTTAGATAAACATTTGTAAATAATTCATGTCACCACGTATCAGACGTGTATGTAGCACTCTGATTATGTATCGCCACTTCCGGTACCGGCCAAGCAAAAGACCAACTTCTCGCGAACGGCCAGTAGACAGAAGGCCACAGCTGCGTGGTGCAGTGCGTTTGAAGTGCATATCACGGTCAATCTGTGCAGAAGACGAAAATGACATGTTAATAGGGTACTTCCGTCAGCGACTCATGGGGCAGCGAGTCATGAGACCACCAGGTGGCGGTTACCGCATGGCCACCTGCTGGTCACTTCAGGAACTAAAAGGGACAAAGGCAATGGCAGCTTTGAGCATGAGCCGGTACGTGAGAAAAAAATCCGTGCAACTTTCTCGTGAAACAGTGGTACACAGGGCGGGGCACAATACACTGCATCGCACACGAGAGTTCGGATATCTGGAAATGTGTTAGAATGACTCACTCGCAAGTCCGGTGTAGTTGGTAACCTTCTTTAAAGCACTACGCCCGACGTCAATCCGCCCGTGCCATGTTATATGTTGCGGTCAAAGTTGTGGCCAACATATGAGTGAATGAGTGAGTTTTACACCGCTTTTAACAATATTCCAGCAATATCACGGCGGGGGGACACCAGAAATAGGCTTCACACATTGTACCCATGTGGGGAATCGAACCCGGGTCTTCAGCGTGACGAGCGAACGCTTTAACCACTAGGCTATCCCACCTCCCCTGCCAGCATATGTGAATGTGTGTATAATATTTAAATATGTGAACTACTTGATATCCGATGCAGCTGTACATCACTGCCATTCAGCCATACGTTAATACTGGTAATAAATGTATAGAGCAGATACCAAGAAACATAACTTACTAATGTAAACCTGTGTTATTGCACTGACGTAATTATATGCAGAACATGTCAGAGATTAACAATACTTATAGTTGACTTTTCATTGCCCAGATAACATATTACACAGGTACAAAGTGTACGTGAGTGATCGCGGGGAGTGGTGATCAAGGCCACACTCAGTACACCCATCCGTACTTCCCCCACCCCCTGCTCGCAAATATCCATTGATTTGTTTGGAACAGATATGTTCCGTTTAAGGGAATGTCTCTCAACAAGCATACCTTGTATTGCATGTTCACCTTATCTGAGATGTAACATACCTTGTATTGCATGTTCACCTTATCTGAGATGTAACATACATTGCACCTGTTGATCAGTCTCTATGAACATTGTGTACCTACAATGTAATGTTGGTGGAAACTGTACACTCAGAATGACATGTTATTGCGCCCATACATCAATACTAAGTAACGGAATACGTTGACAAACTGGTACATCAGTAACAAGCTGGGCCACAGTGATAGGCATACGTTGACAAAATGGTATGTCAGTAACAAGCCACAGTGACAGGCATACGTTGACAAACTGGTACATCAGTAACAAGCCACAGTGACAGGCATACGTTGACAAACTGGTACATCAGTAACAAGCCACAGTGACAGGCATACGTTGACAAACTGGTACATCAGTAACAAGCCACAGTGACGGGCATACGTTGACAGTCAGTAACAAGCATACGTTGACAAACTGGTACATCAGTAACAAGCCACAGTGACAGGCATACGTTGTCAAACTGGTACATCGGTAACAAGCCACAGTGACAGGCATACGTTGAGAAACTGGTACATCAGTAACAAGCCACAGTGACAGGCATACGTTGTCAAACTGGTACATCGGTAACAAGCCACAGTGACAGGCATACGTTGTCAAACTGGTACATCAGTAACAAGCCACAGTGACAGGCATACGTTGACAAACTGGTACATCAGTAACAAGCCACAGTGACAGGCATACGTTGACAAACTGGTACATCAGTAACAAGCCACAGTGACAGGCATACGTTGACAAACTGGTACATCAGTAACAAGCCACAGTGACAGGCATACGTTGAGAAACTGGTACATCAGTAACAAGCCACAGTGACAGGCATACGTTGACAAACTGGTACATCAGTAACAAGCCACAGTGACAGGCATACGTTGAGAAACTGGTACATCAGTAACAAGCCACAGTGACAGGCATACGTTGAGAAACTGGTACATCAGTAACAAGCCACAGTGACGGCATACGTTGACAAAAACTGGTACATCAGTAACAAGCCACAGTGACAGGCATACGTTGAAACTGGTAAACTGGTACATCAGTAACAAGCCACAGTGACAGGCATACGTTGACAAACTGGTACATCAGTAACAAGCCACAGTGACAGGCATACGTTGAGAAACTGGTACATCAGTAACAAGCCACAGTGACAGGCATACGTTGAGAAACTGGTACATCAGTAACAAGCCACAGTGACAGGCATACGTTGACAAACTGGTACATCGGTAACAAGCCACAGTGACAGGCATACGTTGTCAAACTGGTACATCAGTAACAAGCCACAGTGACAGGCATACGTTGAGAAACTGGTACATCGGTAACAAGCCACAGTGACAGGCATACGTTGAGAAACTGGTACATCAGTAACAAGCCACAGTGACAGGCATACGTTGAGAAACTGGTACATCGGTAACAAGCCACAGTGACAGGCATACGTTGTCAAACTGGTACATCAGTAACAAGCCACAGTGACAGGCATACGTTGAGAAACTGGTACATCAGTAACAAGCCACAGTGACAGGCATACGTTGAGAAACTGGTACATCAGTAACAAGCCACAGTGACAGGCATACGTTGAGAAACTGGTACATCAGTAACAAGCCACAGTGACAGGCATACGTTGAGAAACTGGTAAATCAGTAACAAGCCACAGTGACAGACGTTGTGCAGGCATGGTGCAGTGCTGGTAAACATCAGTTGTAATATGTGTTGACCTTGAGCCTACTAATGATATCGACAACTGATATTTACTCTTTGTTTGTGACATATTACTTTCAGCACATGGCAAAGAGTCTTGCAAGTCTTATAATTATTTATACGGACATTCATGCTTCACGTTCAGGGTATGACATTTCTGGTGTCCCCCGCCGTGATGTTGCTGGAATATTGCTAAAAGCGGCGAAAAATCAAACTCAGTCAGTCAGTCAGGGTATGACGTACAAAGAAGTAGATTGACGTTTCCTTCAGGATGTGACACAATATACGGATATGTATAGCAGGATGTTGTTGGACATTTTGTTTCGCACTGTACTACTACAACTACCACTACTTCT